ATGTAATATCTGCATAATGAATAATAAAGGAACTGAGGAAAAGACCTCACTTAAAAAAAAAAAAAAAAAAAAAAAAATAATAATAATAATAATATATATAATGAACGTGAATCTAAATTTACAAAAATTTTTTGAAAAAATATAGTTCCATTTTAGTCAAAAAAGGAAATATAGCATAAGTAATAACAAATAGATTAGTAAAAATTGTAACTTTAAAATTTATGCATTAAAAAAACTCTAATCTTTTCTAAATATTTAAAATATAACAGGTTGAAAATATAGCTTCAAAAGACTTTCAAAACACAAATACGCTTGCATTATACATCCCAAAAAAGTAGTATGCATATGCGGTAAAACAATCAAACTTAACAGAAAATAGGAAGAAGATTATCTTAATTGTCATATTTAACGTTCTGGATATAAAGCAAATAAAGGGCAAAAATCAATTTACAATTGGTTTCAACCAGTAGGGCAAAAAGAATATTATGAAGAGGAAGAATATGGTGAAGAAATTAAATATGACTCTGATGTTTATGATAATATGGATGACGATAACTTAATACAAATTGATAAAATAGATAAAAATTCAGATCAAGAATTTCAAGCTATAAGTATGGATGAATTAGATTATATACAATACAATAAGAAGCAGTTAATTTGTGTTGGTTTCTAGTCTGTATAAATTTCAAAATATATAAAATGAACTTCTGCACAATTTGGTGGTTGTCGTTGTATTGAAATTGTTGCATGTGAACTTTTTTCTCATCTATTTTCACAAAAATTTAGTAGAAAAAAGCTAAATTTAAAAAAAAAAGACAATTAAATTGCGCACTTTTTGCAAAATTTGTTTGGCAAATTGATCGGTCAAGTATGTAATTTATAAAAAATATTAATCTAATTTCTATAATACCTTTAATATTAATACTATAATTTATTAAAGGCAATGCAGTATATGCAAAAACTTGTACTGGATTTGCTAAAAAAGAAAATATATATACTGAATGTTCTTTTATTCAATATAACCAAAATTTATACAACAAAATCAACGTTTCAACGTTGTTGACACTCTACTATTTGGCAAACCTGTGTCACTAATTTTTTATAAGCAGGACGGTTATATTAAAAATATCTGCGAAGCAGGTATTTTTATTATAACTGTCCTTTTTTTTAAAAAAATTAGTGACATGAAGTGTCAAAAAAAAAAATTAAAATTTTTTTTAAAAGAAAGGATGAAAGGGAGGGAGAAACAGGGAAAAAGGGTAAGAGGGAGTGGGGGAGTGGGCATGGGAGAATGGGAGTGGAACAGAGGGAAAGAGGGTATGGGTGTGGGGGTGAAGAGAGAGCGAAAGGAAAAAGCGAAGACAGATAGAGAGAAAGAAAGAAGGAGTGAAAATTTAAACTCCAATCGTACAACGACGAAGTCACGTGACTTCAGATTTCGCGTTTCTGCGAAATCGGAGAAGTTTCAAACTCCGCCGAAACGGAGTTTGAAACTCCGATCAAACGACGAAGTCACGTGACTTTGCTCTTTCGCGTTCCCGCGAA